TAGAAAGCTATCAGATTGGTCAGGCATGATTTCCCCTTGGTGAATCCATGCTGACTACTCCTGATAAACTTATTTTCCTCCACTTCCTTAATGATGACCTCCAGAATGAGCTGCTCCATCACCTTTCCCGGGATGGAGGTGAGGCTGACCGGCCTGTAGTTCCCTGGATCCTCCTTCTTGCCCTTTTTGAAGACTGGAGTGACATTGGCCTTTCTCCAGTCCTCGGGCACCTCTCCTGTCCTCCAGGACCTCTCAACGATGATGGAGAGTGGCTCAGCAATGACACCCGCCAGCTCCCTCAGCACTTGTGGGTGCATTCCATCAGGGCCCTTCCTCTTTAGTAACTGACCTGTGTATTTAGGAAAGTGAGAGCTACTAGTTACACAGAGTTACTAGTAGCTCTTGCTTTCCTAAATACACAGGTCAGTTACTGAAGTGGAAGGGAAGATTGTTTACCACTATGTACATCCACTAAGCCATAATCCTTAGAAGATGGGGAAAATGAAACCAGCCAAACTAACGCCTGAAAGCCTTAACCTGCCAGTCCACTAGGTGTAATTATTCTTGCAGTGGAAGAACTGTTACTGAATGAGTTTGCCTAGTACAGATCCACATTCCACTTGCCACAAAAATGCTAACACCCATTTCTGGGCCCCTCTCCTAAAACACGGAGATTCTTTTATGACGTTATGATACAGAATTGGAATTGACATCTCACTTCACTGTATCCTTTGGAGCTTGATAATGTAGATAAATAACCTTTTAAATCGGATTTGCTGGTACTGCTGCTATAAGCTACAACCTTCATCTCTCAGTGACAGCCCAAACGTGCAGGCTAACATTAAACAGGAAGGGAGAGAATCCTGTAGAAAACTGCATGGGGTGGTCCATGTACAAGACAACCATTTTAGCCAGATCACTCCCCCAGTCCAGGTCATTTCGAGACCATTCATATACACTGTGCTGGCACAAGGATGGGGTTAACATTGAGGAAAGAATGAGCAGCTAATGGCAGAAAGGACTGCTTCTTTTGGCAGCAACACCAGCTTACTTTCCAAATGACTGAACAACTGGCCCACAAGAAGGAAAACCTTGCTCACAATGGACAGTAATCAGATAAACATTGTATCACACCTCATGAACTTAGGCATTCTCTATAGCAGTATTTAAAAACAAGAACAAGTCACACTCGGAGTAAACTGTGTGCCTGGTAATTTCAGTTACTTATGAGACAGAACAGATCAAAAAGCTTAACTACACACCCCACACAATTCAAGTGTGAAACGCTCTTGCTAATGCTTTTGAGAAATGTCAGAACCTACAAAGACTTACTTTTATGATGCATGCATCGTAATAGCAGTTTGATTCATCCTGCCTACATTTCTTATTTTTAAAATCAGATCAGTTTCCATGTCCTTTAAGTACTTGGTCTCTGTCCACACACTAAAAACAGGCACTTGTCTTGTGAAAGGTAACACAATTCTCAAGCCCACTGGTCCATTCAAACTCAGCCAGCCTTAAACCCAACTACTTGCCCGCCTCCCTAATGTATTTTCCAAGACAGGTCTTTATCATTTTACTGACTTCGAAGCGTGCCCTGCAACTGTTAGGTATCTTGTCCAAACTTTTGATTATCTCAGTCTCCTTGCATTTCACTAAAAGTTTTAGTTACTTTATGCAATAAACTCACACAAGTTGCTTACTCTTAAAATATCTGTAACAAAACTGCCTATATATTACATATTATTACAGTTGTCAGTCGTTGCTGTTAGCTCTGGACCATTATAAAAATCAAACACTGATAAAAAGTCTTCAGACGAAAATTCTTTATCAGACTTGTATGTGAAAGCAGAAAGACATCACAATGTTTTACCATAACCTTGGAGTTACAGCTCAGCGTAAGAAGTATGCAGTCACAAATCAAAGTAAAAAATATTACTAAACTACTATAGCCAGAGATGAACATAGTGAAGTAGAATTATGAATATCTCATTAAGTCACTCATTTTTAGTTGTAAACCCCTTAATTATGAGAATACTGAACAATGTACATATAGTTGTTGGTAAGACAAAGCTGACAGCCACACAGACTTATTTACCATGTCTTCTAATTTATTAATGCAGGCCATTCTGCTCTCTCACCTACCAAAGACAGCAAAAATGTTCAGCTAGATGTCAGTGGTGGCTCATTAGCGTAAGTTTTCTGTATTTAGGTCAATGAAACTAGGATTTTTTACTTTAGACATGGTATTTGCTAGTATCACACAATACAAACCAAAATACAAAAAGAAACTTATGAGTTTTGTTATAAGGCAAATTTGCTATGTCATTTCTATACTTGGACCAGTAGGCATACATACCAAACATACAAAGCTCCCATAAAAAAAGAAAATCTACTTATTAATCACAAGCTTGGCTTCGCCAAAACAACCACACCGCGCTGAAAGCACCTTTTCAGTACATGACTGTTCTAATCGAGTAAAATTTTTCAAGCAGCCTTACATTTATAACACTTTGAATATAAGTCAACAACTGATGATCAATTTCCTAGAAGCAGTGAAAAAACCCATGCAATACCTTGGCAAAGGTGTAAATTCACTGATGATGCCTTCTGTTCCCAGGGTTATGCCCTGAACAATGAAAGTGCTGCCCATTCCTTTCCAGAGAGCTCTTGGACCCTGTGTTTTGAAATATGCAACATACTTTGATTCATGCAACATACAACTCAAAAATCTTTTCATCTTGGTAACTTTTATAAAATTGCAGCAAATCCAGACCACACAGGGCTACAATTCTACCATTAAACTTCACTACCACTAAATTCAGAGGACAACTAACTTTTCAGCTCTGAAGAAACTGTTGTTCTTCAATAATTTCAAACAGTCATCAACAATTTTGGAGGCCTGTGTCTCACTGTTAATACTCTGCACCACAAACTTAACACCATTTTCTACAGACAAAAACAAGCTTGAGTTGTTAAAGCACATCCGTAAGAAAACCAGGAATTCTTTTCCTACTGTCTTCTGATTCGAGTTTCAGGATTGCCATTCCCATGCAGAACTGGAAATTCATTGGAAGCAGTCATCTGGGTGATCTCTTTATACACATAAAGATTAACTATTTTTTAGAATCTTCATTAAAAAAATTAGCTTCAGGGACCTTTTTTGTTTTCTAACATCTGCAAATCCTCCCCACTAAATACTATACTTCTTAAAACAAAATAATTTAAAATTATCGTCCTGAAACATTTCTGCAATCTTAAAAATAACAAACCCGTACAATGGCCATGTTTTTAACCACCAGGTACATAAAGAGTTAAAGATATCAATGTACATATGTGCTACAGCAACCTTCACTGCTCAGATACAGCCTGACACCAAATACTGACCTGTGTCTTATTGATGCTGTACATAATATTGACAATAGTAAATGGAGTGAGATTGTAATTCCGAGCATGATAGTTAACCTGTTAAAAATATAAATAATGGCAGTTTTATAAACACATTTGCAGATGTTGCAACTCTAAAGGAAAAAGCACTTCCAAAGTAAGGACTTTATCTCTGTTACAGTCAGCTAAAGTGACCGAAACATGAGTAACTTCTCACTGAAACTTAAGGAAACAGGCAGAACTTCAGTATTTGTATGCTGAAAACGTAAACTTGCTTGCAAATGGGGATCTGGAATTTGCTCTGCAGAGTCTGAAACACTTACTTGCTGTAAGTCATTTTCCACTGCTCAAACAACCATGAGTGAGAACGTTCAATATAAGTTGAATTTCAGAATGGAAAACTTGTGTTACAAATAAAAACATATTAATGTAGCGGTGTCTCCCTAAGAACCACGAAGCTTCCTTATATTCTAGGGAGTATGAAAACACAGAAATATCACAGTACAAAGGAGCTCTGACTGGCAGAAGTAATATAAAAGACATACCTGACACTGACGACGTAGAACAATGCAAGGGTGTGCCAACACATTTTCTGTAAATAGGCTTTAGAAGAGAAGTGAATTTAAAACATGGGAAGCCACTGTAAGTTTATTAGAAAAGGCTTGTTTTTTTTTCTCTAGAAACACTAGATCAGTATTTGGAAAAACTATAGATTACCTAGTGAATCAATGAGGCATTTTGGATGGCTACCTGATAGCCTGCCAATACTGTAGTGGAACAAGTATTAAAAAACCTGACACATTTAAGTACGAAAAAGCCCACATATATACAGTGTGTATGTATTTTTATACGATAAACGACACATTAAATTTCTCAACCTTTCCCTGTGCAAAATACGACAAAACAAGACAGGCCAGAGCCAGAATTACAGAAGTATTAGGTTCCAGTTTTATGTTAATTCTGCATACCACATTATTAATCATGACACTCCTTAGCAGGGCCAGAGGATTTGTACTAACAACTGAGATTTTTTTAATCAGAACATGCTACCGCCTAAAACCAACCCTCCCACCACTCGCAGAAATGGTATTTCAATTAAACCTTAAAGGAAGGTTCTCTCAGTTCTAAAAGCAGATTCCTGGTCACAGCCATGCAGAGAAAATTTCCATTTCATCTCCAAAGTGCCTGAGTGATCAGAGTACTTACCTATATGTGGTTCAAACCTGGGATATGGATTAGAATAGCAAAACCTCCAGGTTTTGCCTAAGCATCCCAAGTAAGAGCTCTGACCACCAAGCTACAGGCCGTCTTGGGTAGGTCTATTACGGGGATTTTACTCTGGATAAACAAGTACTAACTTGCACATAAAAGTACTGAGCCTGCAGTTTCCTAACTATTAAGCTAATTCTTAGTTTGCTCCTACCAAAAGAAGTGAAACTTCCCCAGAATCCCAGCTACTATCTATTAAAGCCCTCCTGGCAGCCAACTCAACTAATCTCACAAAAACTAACCTTTTCTTTTGGGTATTTTCTACAACATTTCTGACTTGAACCATGTGTGTCTGACAAGTGATCTGGTACAAATACAAAAGCAGAAGCAGGGAGAATTGCTCTCAGCAATGACACATGTTGATCAGCCATCTTTCCCAAAACCACATGCTCATTTTAGTCCCAGGGGCCATGGTGCTTAGCCTGTGCAAAATTTTGTCATGCTTGATTAAATTAAAGCATGCAGTTCAAAGGGACAACTGAGCCACACTAGTATTTCTCTCCTCCCAAAGATCAACGTGTTCCTGCCTATCCACTCCCTTGCTGGTACGCTCCTGAGCAGGCTGGAAAGAAATCAAACAACTCTCCACACTTTTGGGGGGGTTAGTCCTTCCCTCCTTGCCCCCATCAACTCTATTTTAACAAACTGAACAGGCTCACCAAGGGGACTGAATGAGCAAGCTGAGCCACTGCAAGGGAAGCAGTGGGAGAAGAGGGACAGGCAGTTTCATAATCTAATTTATCAATTCATTACTTGCCCAAAACAGCCACTCCTTCTTATCTATCCCTTCACCCTCTGGTCCAGTTAGCTGGTGTCTGCTGGCTTTCACAGCAAAAAATAATCCAGCTCTTCCGTTGACTTTGCCTTCTGTTTCAGTGGGTCAGCCTGGTTAGAAGAGGTTCTGATGGGCATCAAGGGTGATAAGAATGGGGTAAGCAGCAGGACAGGCTGGTGGTCAAGTAAAAGGTCCTCCTCTTTAAGCAGAAGTACATTATAAGAACCTCAACTGATATAGCTTCCCATGTTGGTCTAATTGTGTAAATGACAGAAGTACTCTCACGTTCTGAAGAGAGCAGCACTTTTCTCTAACAAGTCTCTCTAATAAGTCTCACATTCAGGTCAACACGAAGCAAAACTTTGTAGTCCTAACTTTTTCAAAGACAGACACCCACCTCTCACCATTTCACAAGTTGCATCAGTGTGTAGACCAAGAAAAACCTAACCAGGTGAGTAACTAAGCAGGCATTCTACAAAAAATCCTAAGCTTACCATAATCCTTACACTTGACAATTTAAGCTCTGAAAATGATATTAAGCAAGTTAAAGTCCACCACTTCCTCAAATATTACCAGTAATCAGTGTCACCATAATAAAGAATAAAGCATTGGACCACTTGGTTAGATGAACATTACTACTCCAGGATACTTTTATAATATACTTTAAGATATTTTCATCTTCTTAGGAAAGATTTGCATTACCTAAAAATATTAGTAAAAGTGGCAAATGTTGCAACAGTTTTCTGGTGTTATTTTCAAGTTGCTCTGATAGGGTAAACATATACTGGGCATATCGTGTGACAAACTGTTCCTTATATTCACTGCTAATTAAGTCATGTTGAGAAACAGTTCAGCTAAAGAGAACAGAAACCTACGTGGATTTTGGGCAGTAGGTTTCTAAAGGAACTTCAACTGCATAAGTCTACGGGGATAAAAACACAACACAAAAGCACAGATAGGGATCATCAGACAGTTATAGCTTGACTACTTCATTAACACTGAAAAGTATTACACAACTCTTACCTTGCTAGACCAATACCAAAGCCTGCAAATCTGTTCAACTGCTCTGAAAAAAATGAAAATGGATTATACAGCAGTGATAACCACAAAATGGGAGAAAATGCCATGCAGACCATGCGAAAAACTAATTTTATACTGTACTTGCTTCAGAAAATTACGAGCACTAAACCACCACACTTAGGGCAACTCAGCAAGAGAAGACACAAAAAATTATTCCTCCAGGAATATTTGCACTTTGGATTGCATTTGAGTTTGTGTACACTTCCATAAATAAAATTATTCTTCTCTTTAAACAGCTACAGGGGGAAAAAAGAGACAAAGTGAAGAGTAAAACAGAATATTTTAATATCTAAAAAATCTAACTCAAACCCACTACTGAAAAAGTTAGCATGCATGACAGTTTACAATAATTCTGAAACAAGTTTAGGTATCTGAGGGAAATTAATTTTAAAAACAAAAACAGTAAAAACAGAGAAACTTTGGTAAAAGCAAAACAAAACGCCATTGGTGACGTAGCAACAAACATCATCATGATGCAAATTTTCAAGTCAGTTGTTTATGTCCACTCCGCAAAAACCTATTTACTACAGAACTGTTAAAATTGCAGCAAGTGCAATGGGTTTGATTCTCTGTTGTCTCCTACCAGGCAGTCATTGACACACTGGAATTATCAGAAGAGGTTTCAAGAATAGTATCAGAACTGTAAAGGCAACTGAAAACTAATGCTGAGCCCTACAATCTGCAGGGTGCGAGCAGTCTGTAAACATGGGTAACGCCAGTACGTTCAGCGGAGCTCCACACAGATGTGGCAGCCCTCCTAAGGGAAATGAGAAGATTCTCTCTACTTGCAGAAGCTGGACTCCATGATTCAGCAACTGCTTATCATCCCTCCAAAGTGCAGAATCAACATACCCTCCATGAGTAGACAGGGCAAAAAAAGGTAGAGTCCAAGTATCTAAGTATATTTAAGTCGTGCTTGCATGGCTGAAAGTCCAGCTAAGGATTGTGGTCATTACAAGACCTGAACAAAAACGCTGCACTACAGGTTAAAAAAAACAAAACCAAAAAACAGAAGACTCACTGATTAATATAACTAAATTTAAAATAAACTACTCTTTCATAAAGCTCTGATACTTCAGTGTATATAAACAGCTCCAGGGCATCCTTTTAATTAAAGGAGACAAAGTTCAGTAGCCTAGATTTATGAAGCTTCTCTTAGTTCGCTTGAATTTCACAGCAACGTAAAACGACACTGGTACTTCTCAGGGCTTCCGCTCGGTTTCCCACCGACGACCGGCCAGGACTCGAACACGGCTGCTGCCCCGAACCCCACCGGGTCCCACCGTCCCTCCACCGCCACGCACGGAGAGGGGAGAGCAGGTCTACTTCAGCCAGCTCACGCCGCGCCCCTTCTGCTTCCCCAG